ATCATCCTAAGTCACTTTGATAAGAGTAAATGTGATTGGCTAGATGTTTTTTTATATTAATTCTCACACCAAATCCAGATTTTTGTGCGTTTTGTTTATAGTTGAGAAAATTTTATAATAAGGATTGAGAATGTTGGATAAAGATTTTTTGGAGGTTATAATGAGATCAGTTTCTTAAATACTAATAATATCTAAATGATGTAACAGATAAAGTTAGACTAAAATTTGTTGTTTAGACTATTAAGTAAAAGAGCAAACGTTGTGTGTAGCTGTTTTCAAAATTTAATGATTATTAAGATTATCTATAGGTGGATTATCATTTATATTTTTATTCATATCAGTTGTATTATTCATTAATTAAGTTATTTTAGTGAGAATGAACCTTCATAATTTTTATCATCATAAAGAGAAGATGGTGCTGATTTCATGAATTTTAAAATAAAAATCAATCTATCTTGAGGCATCATTTTATGGTGAATAAGCATCCTTTGCATTTGAGCTACTACAGCAAGGGTGTTATTGAGTTTGTCGAAATTAGAACTTAAGTTTTGTTTAAGGATAGAGTTCTCTAATTGAAGTTTGGTGACTTGAGCTTTTTGTTATTGAATAATGGATTTTGATGTATCAATTCCAACAGTGACAACATCGTTCTGATTACTATCTTCATCCATATCATCAATTAGATCTTTGAACAGGTTAGAGTTAATAATTTTTACTTGTTCAGATAAAATAAAAGAGATATTAAGCACCACTTCAATTGTATTAACTCTAATAAGAGTAAAAGTGAGATTATTGTAGATATTAATAAGCTGTTAAGAAACATTGTTGATTTGTATTAGAATAGCGTCAAGTTGTGATGGTTGATATTTATTTTGATATCAAACAATATTTTTTTCAGTTTCATCTGTCCAAGATCCAGACATATAAATACTATCATTTAATGTGTTGCCCCTATTATTAGATGTATTATAATTTAGAGCTTCTTTAGGGAACAGTTCATTTTTTGAAACAGGTGATGGGTCAGTAAAATTATCATCAGTTAATTGGACAATGTGAGCAAAGGAAGAACCATTTAGATCAGGTGTATTATATTGTGTAAAACAACCTTTGTTACTGTTATTACAGTTATTTGTAGAGGGTTTTGGAGTAGATTTTGGTTTGATTGGATTGTGGAATAATTCTTGAATTGGACTAGTTGATAGCGTTGGTAAAGATTCTAGAGTTGACGATCTTTTGGGATGTACGTTTGCATTTGCAATTATGTGACATGTGATCTGAAGCTGAACAAATATAACACAATTTTTGATTGGAGTCTATCCAAATAAGTCTTTTTCAATCAAGGTAGATAGAATCTTCTTCTTTGATCAAGTTAAGAGTCTCTTGGTTAGAAAAGTATATAACTGCGTATTGATGATTTCTATAGGACGCTTTTGATTTAGGAATGATCCATGCTATGGTATGAACAGTGTGACCAATTTCTTTGAGTTACTGTCTATTAGTGTCCACAAGTAAATTGGTGAGTTTTAGGAAAAATTTTGATTTGAGACAAACTTCTTTGTTGAAGAGTGCACATAGATGAATACAGACCATATTTTTGTGAATGAAAAGTCCATAATAATTGTTAAATTGAGACATATCAGTACCTGTGGCGAAAGTAATTGTAGCTTGTTGCCACAAATTTTTGGTAATCATGGTACATTATGTGATTGTTCCAAAAAAGGCAAATGATGACCTGATATTAGATTTTGTTAATTGTGATCAGAAGGATAGAAACTCAGACGAACACAAATCTTTAGTCACATTGCTTCTAAAAATGACTAAAGAGATCAAACATTTAGAGTCTATGGATGATAAGGTCTAGGATCACTGCTATATCATAGAAAAGTACTGTGGATCAGCTCACAATTCCTGTAATCTTAAGCTTCGAATAGAAGCATGGAAGATCCCAATTCCAGTTATTTTTCATAATTTCTATGTATATGACTCTTACTTGGTCTGTGAATCTGTTAGGCGTTCAGTTAATGTGATTCAGATCAGTGTCGTAACTGAAACATTTGAGCGATATAAGACTATGAAGGTAGGTCAGATTAAATATATTGATAGTCAGCAATTCATGAACTCAAGCCTAGCCAAACTTGCAGAGAACTTGGATAATAATAAACTCATAAACAAAAAATATTTCAAAGATTTAGGTTATACAGATGAAAATTTAGATTTGGTGACATGTAAAGGGGTTTAACCTTATGACTATATAGATTTACAAGATAGATTTAAGGAATCAGAACTCCCCCATTCCATGAATTTCATAGTAAGCTTAGTAGCAAAATTACTCATAAGGATTATCAACATGCCCAAAAAGTATGGGAAAAATTCAGATGCAAAAATCTAAGTGAATACAATGATATCTATCTTAAGCTCGATGTACTTCTTCTAGCAGATAGTTGGACAGAATTTCGAAAGGCATGTATGAAATATTATAAGCTTGATCTTAGCCCATTATGCCTTTGCATCAGCATTATCTTGAGATGCTATACTTAAAATAACAGGAGTTAAAATCGAATTATTCAGATATGGCTATGTATGATTTTATTGAAAAAGCCTAGCGTGGTGGCATATCCATGACTTGTCAATGATATTTTAAGGCCCATAATCCTAAGATGAGAAAAGCTTATATCTCATCCCAACCAACCACATGAATCTCATATGTCGACATGACTAATCTTTATGGTCATTCTATGAGCCAATACTTACTTATTAGAAATTATCAACTGGAGGTAAATCATAGATATCTAAAAACAGGTCAGACATGCAAAAGAAATGGTTGGATATTGCACTTAAAACTAGGGCAAATTCATATCGTGAACTATATTTGAAGGTTAATTTCCATTTTTCCCTAAAGATCTATGACTATTTAAGAGATTTGCCACTGCTGTAAAGAATATCGCAATTGAAAAAGATTGGTTATGTTCTTATAATATTGATCTTGTAGAAAATTTAATAACAGACGCTTCTCTATTACAGAAAAATTAGTTCACCATCTTAGCTTACGAAAGAATTATGTTATTCATTATCAAAAACTTCAATATTATGTGAAATTAGGAATGGTTGTGGATAAGATAACAGAAGTTCTATCCTTTGACCAAACTAACTGGCTCGAACCATATATTGCTTTTAATACTGAGAAATTTAATAAATCAAAGAATACTTTCGAGAAAAACTTCTTCAAACTTATGAATGTATCAATATATGGCAAGACTATGAAGAATATTCGCAAATACTAGGATGTCAAACTCATGAGGAATATTAATGATTGAGATGAAAAGGCTTTCTTAAATAAGGTTCGTAATCCGAGATTTAAATATGCTAGGCAACTTGGAAATATACTTATAGGAACGCATATGAAAAAGGCCAGCGTAACCTTAATAAGCCTATTATAGTTGAAGCATCTGTTTTGGGTCTTAGCAAGTTTCATATGTATGAATTCTAGTATAGATATGTGAAGGAAAAATATGAAGACAAAGCCCATCTTGGTTATATGGACAAAGATTTCTTTATATATCATATTGAGACTGATGATATTTATAAAGATATAGATGAGTAACCTGACCTCTTTAATCTCAATGAAGATCAAACTGTTGGTAAATTTAAGGACGAAACTCCAGATAACGTGATTACAGAGTCATTCCACATTCAGGCCAAATCTTACCAATATGTTCTAGCTGATAAATCCATACAGTCTAAGCATAAGGGGGTTAGTAATAAGGGTATGAGTAATATGGCTATGAAAATATATATGCCAACTTTAGAAGGATCCCTGCTTGATGATCCAATAGATAGGTTATCATTAATGAAACAAGAAGCTAAGGATTTAGAAATACGTACTAAGGTAGATCCTATGACCTTAGAATATCAGGACTGTCTCTTTGGAAAGGAAGTATTTCATGCTAATAATGTGGGTATCCGATCTAAAGACCATGTATTATCTCTGGTTGAGTCTTCAAAGAAGGCCCTATGTCTTATAGATACAAAGCACTGGATATTATTAGATAGGGTAATCACTTTACCATATTTTCATTAGTGCAACCAAGCATATAAGAATATGATTAAGAGTAGTATGGTTAAAGAAGATGCGGAAAAAAAAGCTATAAGGATCAAGCTCCTAGAAAAGTATTAAAACGAATGTACATCTCATATAGCCAGCTCCTAGCAATAAGCTAGGCTAGTGAAAATGGAACATATATTCTAACAGGTAGGTAAGTTACTGACATTGCATTCTCTGTATTTTTAAAAAGGTCATGCAGAATCAGAACTTATACAAGATCATCAATATATTCTCTTTTATGTATATCATAGACTGGATTATGCTGAAAGCTATTATTAGATAAATGTTCAACCATCTTTTCTTATAACTGAATATTTATCACATTAGAAAAAAAAATATTAACTATGTATGCGCTGTGACTATAGCATTAGCTAAAATGGTTATATCTACCAATGTTAATATAAATTCGATTAGAAAATATCCAAATAACAGTATTTCAGATGAATTTTATGACCTGAATGAGGCATTTTATTATTCGATTCTAAGAGAATGACAAATTATTATTCAAAAAAGAAAACCTATGAGATATGTTATCAAGATAAGCTAAAATGGTAGGCTATCTCTCACAGATCAACAGATCAAAAGTTGGCTTATCTTCTGAAGTACCAAAAGGTACAAGGGAGTTTTTTTTTTCTGGCTTATTAAATATTCAGTTAAGAAAACAACACTCAAAATGGCATATGCAGAATGTAAAATTTGGCCTTTTTCAGATGAAATAATCCATCAAGAAGCGCATTGAAAAACAATGGAAAAGGGTATAGACACTATACGGTCAAGGTACTGATTAACACATCTTCTCATGCAAATAAAATTAGCAGAAGTTTAGCTGATAAACTTGGAGAAAAATATAATAATCATTATAAAAACAAAAGAGTGAAAAACTCATTAGGCATTATAGATGGCTAATATATCTTTCCAATACAAAGGAAAAAATAGACTGATCCCTGATAGTGACGAAACTTTTAATAATTTTGAGGTTGTTGTAAAGCTATGCAAAAGCATCTTTAGCAAGGCTGATCTTATATTAGAAATGCAATGGTTATGGCTATGTAAGACAAAAATAGACATGAAAAAGGAGGGAATAAGAATTTATGGTAACTTTATACCATTTTGTAAGGATAAGGACAATGGCGAGTCTTTTTATAATTCCAATTCTGAGTCCAGTTCATTCAAGCTTAAAAAAAGGTTAAAAAGCTAGAAAGAATTGTAGATTAGATAAGAAATTATGCAGAAGAGCAAACTGGTATAGAGTCTGATAAAGAACTAACAGATTCATCTGATTCAGATTATGAGGTGAAGAAAAAATCTGGCAATATGAAGGTGAAACCTAGAAGGAATCTAATTTGAGTAGTCTAATCCATCTAGTTCAGAATAATGACCATCAGCTTGAAAGAATTATTTTTCTGATTGAAAGATATTCTAGCCTATAAAATTCCTTTGAGTCTTTTTTCTCATAATGGGAAAAGATCCTCTTCTAAAAAATTAAAAAGGATAATACTCCATAATTTACATACTTTAATGTAGTTAATATATTCGTGAGCAGTTTCATTATAATCAATACAATTGTCATATAGGTGAAAAATAATATTATCACAAATGCTAGGAATACTAATAAACCTAGCTTTTCTTTTTTTCCAAATAATATGCTTAGATACAGCATTCTATTGGTGGTTCACTCTGATGCAACTCCTATAGAGGTTCTTCCTATTGAGAAAGACAAAGATAGCTTCAAATAATTCGGGTATTGCTAGGATAGGATACATATTCATTAATAATCAATTATTTTTCTACTCAATAATTAGACTACTTCTATAGTATAGGTAAGAATGGAGAGTAATAAAAAGCAATCAACTAATGATATATCTAATGATTCAAAGACGCTTTGCAAAGCATTTGAGAAAAATTTGGAAGACTTAGAAAATCTTGTAAAATTGTTTAAAAATGATGTAAATAAGATATTTGATATTTCTTCCATAAAGCTTCAGAAGGATCAAAAATAAATTTTCCCAGAGTGGTAAGTTATTCAGAATATGTGATATGTTTTGCAAATCTTATCTAAAATTATTTTTCTCACTCTGTAGATTAAAGATTAAAGGGATTGCTAGTAGACAAACTCTAGCTCAGACCTTCAAAGTCTTTTAAATTTAAGTATGCAAGATAATTTGCAGTGGTATATCGATCCAGGGTTAGCTAGATCAATAATCTAGAATAATGATCATTAGCTCAAAAGATTTTTTGTTAGGCCATAGATTGTGGATTACTAGCCTTATTTTTCTGATTGAAAAAATCTTCTAATTATATAAAATGCATACAGCTAATTTGCTTGATCAGATTACACCAGAATTAATACCATTTATTCTAAAAAATTTATTGATATAGGATCTCTATAATTGTAATAGCATAAATGATACATGGAAAAAAAAATCAGTCTTGAACTGTTTAAAAGACCTGAAAGAGAACAATTTCTATATTGAGATTTCATATTTCAAAAGTTGTATTACCAGCCTGAAGGTTATTATCAGACTGCCAAAAAAATGTGAGATGCTTGTAAGAAGATCAGATATAAGTTTACTCTTGCAAAGATCAAATATTGGTTAAACAAACAGGCCATATATCAGACATACAAACCTTCGCTGAAGTTTGTTCATCTATCCCAATTTAAGCCAGTCTGGAGCAGAGATCATTGACTCAGAAGATTTTTTCTGGGTCATTCCTGTATGACAGAAAAATAAGTAGATCAGACAGGTTTGTGTGACATATGAATTTTTGCATATATATTTGAAAAAGAAACGTATTAACCTTTGTTTATTTTTTCCCAAACAAATATGAGAAAAATGTGAAAAAAGATTTAGTTGTAACTAAGGTTGTTGGATGAAATTAAGAGTTTAGACAGACGTCTAAATGGTAAATGTAAAACTTGGTTAAATTATATTAAAACCTTATTAAAAAATCTGTGAAATTCAGAAAAAGGTAAAACTATATCAAAGCTTATAAAAATGGCGAAACTATATCAAACACTTAGTAAAAATTTAGCAAAACTAAAGATTTAAACATTTAGCCAAATCCAAAATGAGTTTAGACAAGCAACTTTACTTAAACACAACTAAAAGAAAAGAATTTAGATTAAGTCTATAAATTAAGATTAATTGCTGTATTGCAGTATATGTAACCTTTTGAACTTCAAAATTCTAAACTAGAGGCAAGTCTTAGTATTGCATAATAACTTAAAAAGGACTATAGTTTGCTCAATGTTTTCATTTATGGAGCCGCATGCTAAAAAATGGAAAAACTATTCTATTTTCTAAGCGAGAAAAGCATTGTAAAGTAAAAAGTTTTCTTAATGATAAAGATATTCAAATGCAAATTACTTCTTATTTGCGAGAAAAAAAATTTGAGTTTTATGTTGCTGATTTTGTAGATTATATTACAAATACTATTTTTCCATCGTTTAGAATTAAAATGAAAACAATAATTAAGTAATTTATTAAACTTTTCGATATTTTACTTTTAAAATTGTTAAATAATATTTATTATTTATAATTTTTAACGAAACTACTGCAAAAAATTGGATTAAGAAAATGGAATATCAATATAAAAAATATCAAAAAGGAGTTTATATAGATGGTCATGAATGTGAGGATGTAGTGGAATACCAGAAATCTTTTTTAAAAGAAATGGAAATGTAAGTATTACATGCAATATTATAAAGTCACAATACGCATATTTATTCTTAAATAATTTGCAGTTATCAAAGATTAATGCTGATTTTTGAGGGGAATGGAATGGAAGTTCAAATTAATCCTAATTTAAAACCAGGTGAACAAATTTCTATTTTGGTTACTCATGACGAAACTATATTCCATTCTAATAATAGAAAAAGTTCTGGATATGTTCCTAATTATGAACAACCTTTGCGAAAAAAGGCAAGAATATGCTATTCATATGAGTAATTTTATTTGTGAAATAATCGGTCATTTATAATTAAATAAGAAACAAAGCTTTTAGAAATTAGAAATAGAATTCCACATGAAGCTCGAGTTATAATGAATCCTGAAAAAAATCATGATGGTTAATGGACTGTTAAAAAATTAGTTAAACAAGTAATTAAATATTAATTAATTATTTATTGTTTTTAATTAATTATAATAATTATTTTTTATTTAAAATTAGTTTAACATGCAAGTCTTATATTTGAAGCAACTCATCCAAATGCTATTTGTATTTTTGCATTTAATAATTCCATATCACATAATGCTTTTGCATCTAATATATTAGTTGCTTCACGTATAAATATAAATCCTGGTAGAAAGCAACCCCGAATGAGAAATAGAATATTTAATGGGCAAATTCAAACTATAAATTTTTCTGATAATTATTTTGATCAAGCACTTCAGAAAAAACCAAAGGGTATAAGATAAGTTTTAGAAGAATGTTAGTTAATAAGATCTGGTTTGATAGGATATTGTCATAATAATGAATTCAAAAGTATTTAATGCTGCATGTGATATATTCTTGAAAATCAACCTGATTTTCTTGCTCAAAAAGGAATGATTCAAGAAGTTATTGAAGAATGAGATCATAAAGTAATTTTTTATCCAAAATTTTATCTGAAGTTAAATTTCATTAAAATGTATTGGAAAGCATCCAAGAAATATTTCTATAAATATTGTGACTATACTTGGACTGGTTTACAATGGGTTGTGCTAATTGCTTTAAATCAAGTTCCATTATCTCAAATTAGAGTATTTGCAAGAAAGTCATATAGATATATAGATGCATATCAAAAAGGATTAAATGTAAAATAAGCAGAATATGCAGTTAAATGTTATAAAAGACATAGAGTAATACTTAATAGTGTTTTAGCATCTTTAAATAACCTTTAATAAAAAATTATGATTTTCAAACAGTAAATTTGTTTTTAATGCTGACTATAATTTATGCTAATCTTATAATTCAGGCTAAAGATCATATGATTAACCACTTAAGAAAATTTAATTGCTATACCTGCAATTTAATGCGACTAGAGTACTTGAGCTGTACATTTAATTATTAAAAATAAAGTTTAATAAAAAAAAAAATAAAAATTAATTTTATTTATTTTATATAAATTAATTAATTATAATATTGAATAAGGGTTTTACAATTTAAAATTAAAATCTAAAAAAAAATTAAAATTTTATTTATTATGATAAATGTGATTTTTTAGTAAAATAATTCAGATTTAATATTAATATATAAACTTTTTTTTTTTTTAGATTTCATCTTATATTAATAAGCTTTCAAATTTTTACCTCATTCTAAATTATTAAAACAATAAATTATCTAATTTTTGACTTTTCTATATTATTATTATATTATATTATATTATAAAAATTTGCTATTTATCATTACTAGTGATTAGCATCAGTATAAAATTAACTAATAGTAAAGTTCAAGTTAGCTTAACCATCAGTTTAAGCTGAACTAATTTATTTCACTTACAAGTTAGCTTAACTTGAGTATAAAATGTGATTAGCTGAGCTAACTCATGAATCATACAAGTTGTCTTATAAGACTTACATTATTAACAAAAATCTGAAAAAAAATTTCAGAGTGATTAAAAAGTTCTGAAAAGCGATTTCCTTCAAAAGAATTGTTTCTGAAATGACTTTCTTCAAGAAAAATGTCTCAAAAATGATTCCTATAAAGAAAAAATGTCTTCAAATAATTCTTTTAAAAAGAAAATACTTTCAAAACATTTTTTATGAACAAAATTACTTTTAGAGTAATTTTTTTTAAAAAATACATTTCTAGAATAAATTCTTTTAAGAAATATATTTCTAAAGCTTTTATTATAAGAAAATAGCTTTCGTAACTTTTTCTTTTAAGAAATATACTTCTAGAGTATTTTCTTTAAAAAATTCACTTCTATAGCAAATTCTTTTAAGAAATTAATTTATAGAATAATTTTTATTAAGAATTTCTTTCGTAATAAATTCTTTTTAAAAAATCTATTTTCAGAGTGATTTTTATTAAGAATTTTACTTCTATAGTAAATTCTTTTAAGAACTTTACTTCTAGAGTAATTTCTATTAAGAATTTCATTTTTGTAGTGAATTCTTTTAAGAAACTCATTTCTGGAATGATTTCTATTAAGTATTTCGCTTATGTAGCATATTCTTTTAAGAATTTTGCTTCTAGAGTAATTTTTTTGAAGTAATATGCTACTATAATATATCTTAAAAAAAATGTTTTTGAAGCATTATTTTCAAAGTAAAGTGTTTCAGAAATGTTACCTTTAAAATAAAATATTTTTAAAGCATTATCTTTGAAAAATAATGCTTTTAGAGCA